ATTCTGTGAAACCTGCAGCTCAGCACAGCGCGGCCGTTTGGGGCCGAGCCCTGGGCTCTGCTGGGGGCAGAACCTGCTGTCGTTTTGCTGTAACCAGCTGCAAAATGAGTTTGACCTTTCAGGTGCCCGCATGGAAGAAGTCGGCGCTTTTACAACAACAACAAATGATTTTGCTCCTTCCAGGAGGCGAAGGCGAAATGTCACGTTTGATGAATGAGCGACCTTTCACGGGGGCGGAGGGAAACTCCTTTATGTGCTCCACCCCACACCGACGTCATTTCCATGATGGGGCTGAGTAACGTTTTCCAAGAAGTCAGAGATGGCAGCTTAAAGCTGCATCCCGTGGGGAACTGCCTGGCATTGGCGTGCTGCTCCCTCACGAACGCTGCTGATCTCATTGCTGTGCGTGCTCTCCTTTAGCTGAGAGCTGGCAGAGAGAGGGAGGGATGTGGGGGACCTGCGTGGTGGTGGTTTTGTGCCATCAGTTCCTCTTTTCCCCCATCCTGGAGGTGTCAGCATCCACGTGCGTGGCCCTGGGATGGGCTGGCAGAGCGAGGAGTGGCACTGAGTGCTGGGGAAGCATTAAGGGATGCCTCGGGATGTCTGCGTGCTGCCTGCCTTGTGGTGCCTGAGTTTGTGCTGTGATGAGGACAACCTAAACCCCAATCCCTGCTTTAAGACAGCAGAACTTCAGGAAGGCAAAGCATCTTAAAGCCTCCTCTTGGTTCTGTCCCAGCACGGTGTCAGCCCAGTGCCGTTGTGATGCTTCCCCTTCTGCAGGCTGAAAGAACAAAGTGATGCGAAGCGGGAGCAAAACTCCCATCCTCAGCTCTCAGTGATCCCATTGACATTGAGGAGCTGTGCTCCTCTGTTGTGATGCCCCACGTTTATTGCAGCCATTTGGCTCTGCTTTGTGCCATCCCACGCCGCCGTCCGGTCGCACAGGGCTGAACTCCTGGCGGGCAGAATGGAGGGACTGAGATTTATGGGGAAATATCACCGGGGTGAACAGCATGCCTTGTGCTTCCCCTCGCTGTGTCCTTTCCTCCCTGTGCCCTTGCACTGCATTCCCTGCTCCCTTAGCAACGTGTCTGCATGCAGAGCTGTGACATCTCCCAGCACTGCGCCGTGTGGGGCAGCTCTTTGTGCCCCCCGTGGGGTGCAGGGGGGGCTGTGGGGTGGGTGCTCTCCCTTGGGTCGTCTCACTGCATGCTGTGCTTCCTTGCAGGTTTCTCCATGTCTCAGCTCTGCAGCTCCTGGGATTTACACCAGCAAAGCATGGCGTACCTCCCTGATGCAGGTAACCCCACCTGCAGGGATTCTCCTCCTGTTTCTCTCTTTCTCCAAGCTTAGCAGATCAGAACTCTTCTCTAAAGGCTCTCAAAGTGTTGTTTGTGCTGAGCTCCCATTAAGGCGGGTGTGAAACCAAGAACTGAAAGCTCCCGGAGCAGCTCTGTGTTCCAGGTGCCCCGTAGCCATTTCCCCACGGGCTGTTTGTGCAAGATGTGCAGAACCACTGCACCTCAAAGGGGCTGAAAGGAGCCTGGGCTGCCCTGGGATCAAACCATAGCAGTTGGGTACACTCATACCGAGCCTTAAATTGCAGAGCTGTGCTCTTAGTTCTCGATTTCTTTGGGGTTTTTTAACTCACTTTTGTTCCAGACTTCGTTGTCTGATGGTGTTTGGTGCAGGAAATCCCCAGCATCAGCTGAGAGGCTCGAGAAAGCAGCGTGGAGCCAAAGAGGCAGCAGCTGTTTGTGGTGCCTCTCGAGAAAGCATTTAATGGCCTCTAAAATAAATAGTTTTAAGAAATGGGAGGGGAGGAAAGGAGGGAAAAGGAAAGGGAAAAGGGGAGGGGGGAAAGAAGGGGAAATAGAAAGAAAAAAATGGGGAAAAGGAGAAAAGAAGCAGCCAGGAAAACAGGTCGTGCCAAGCTCCGTTCCGGTGTTCCTTTCAGCTTCAAACGCTGGGAGCCCCGTTTCCTTCCTTCCTTCTTTCTGTCCCTTTGAGGATTTTTGGAACAATGCTCACTGGATTTGTGTTTGGGATTTGTCTGACTTACGGGAGCTGCTGTGAGTGCTGGCGCTGCTTCCCGTCTGCATGGGGGAAATTCTGCTCCAGCCGTGACCTCTTTCCCTGCGGTTTTGCATCTCCGCTTTGGGTGAATTTGGGTTCTTTCAAGGCTCGTTTTTTGGAAAGCAAAGGAGTGGGGGAGAAAAGAACGGGGTTTGGAGTGGGGTCTTATTGCTGAAGTGCAGCAAATAAACGTGAGCACGTTCTGCTGTGGGGGTCGGTCCTGCCCTACCTGGAGCCTGCTTGGTGATGGTGTGATTACGCAGAGCCAGAGGAACACAGCAGCTTTTCTTGTCACATCAAGTTGAACGCGAGCAAAACAAAACAAAAAAAAATCCTTTATTTGCATCTGATTTGCTTTTTGTAATGCTGTGACAGCTGCCACAAACACTGCTTTCCTCTGCCCCTCCAGAGATGGAAACCATGGCTGCCAGCACATCCCTTCCCGACCCAGCTGGTGAGTTTGACCGCAACGTGCCTCGAATCTGTGGGGTTTGTGGGGACAGAGCCACCGGCTTCCACTTCAACGCCATGACCTGCGAGGGCTGCAAGGGCTTCTTCAGGTGAGCTGAGCTTCAGGGCAAAAAATTCCCCCCCCACACACAGAGAGCTGCTGGTGCTCAGGGTGCAGCCCTGCAGAGGCTGGAGCCATGCCTGCACTGCAGACAGCCAGCGTGTCCTCAGTCATTCAGACCTTGCAAGGTGTTTCCCTCTATTTCCCTTCCTGTGGCTGTCAGCCATCTGTTAGGAGCCTTGCAAACTTCACGTGCTGCATAGATAGGAGCATGCCAGCCTCTAGTGTGCGCCTGGGCTGGGAAGAGCAGACCCAGAGCCAGCAGTCTGGGTGTTTAAAGCAGCCGTAGTTTTTGTTTGCAGCTGAATTGAGGCTTTTTCCAGCTGTCAGGTGAGTGTCTCGTAGTCTGCAGCTGCTCCTAATGAAGGCAAAACCATCCCAGGCCCTGGTGAGCTGTAAGCTGGTGGGTGTTTTAGTGGCTCGCTTGTCCTGATGGTGTCAAACCATTCACGTGGGAGTTCAGGTCGCTTGCACCAAGTGAGAGAATGACTAAGAGAGACGAGGAGAGATAATGCCTGGCGTGGGACTGGCAGAGGAGAGCCTTGCTCAAGCACTGCGTGCTGCAATGAGATGGAGGCAGCAGACTGCAGACACCGGAGCACATCCCTGCGTGTTCAGCAGGGCTGTTACAGCAACCAGGGCACAGGTTTGCAGAGCAAAGTCATAACTCCTCCCCTTGCAGGAATTTTGGGGCTGGATGGAGGTTTTCACATACCACAGTCTTGCAGCCTGAGCAACGACATTTTCCTCAATCACTGCTGCTCAATGAGTAACTCTGCTTTCAGGTGCTGCCCTTCAGGCTCTGGTTTGGTGGCCCCAACCTTCCCTGTCCCCTCCGTGCCTGCGGTGGCCATGGGGTGGATGGGTCCTTAAGTGGCTGCAGTGCAGCTGTTAACACTGTCAGCCCTCCTTAGCACTCTGCTGCTTCCCCATCTCTGTGCACCACGCTGGTGCAATCATGTACGACACGCAGCTGCAACAGTATTTCTGAGCAGACGTTTTCATGGTGTGAAAAGCATTCATCTTCAGCTAGCCCTTCATGCCCCATAGAAGGCCTTGATTTTCAATTGAAGGCTCTATTTTTCCTTCATCTTGCTTTCCAGGCACGCTGTCCCCATGCTGGGTCTTGGTGTGTTCTTTCTTGCCCAACCAGGCTTGTTTACGAGCTATTTAGAACCAATGAATTGAGTAATTCTCGTTGCTACCACAATATGCAAAGGTGCTTTCTGCCTGAAAACACCACAGCACTGCTATGGGGGAAGCTGGACCCCCTAAAACTCACCCAGAAAATCCATGCATCCCTTTGCAAGGACCTCTGTAACGCTTTGTGCCTACGTGCACTTGCTGGTTTCAGCTCCCTGAGCAGGTTTTTGGAGAACCACTGCACAGATACCAATTCCTGGTGGCTGTTACCTGCCCTGGGGGTCAGAATTGAGCCTGGAAGGAGCAGAAGGGACGAGGGGATCCCAAGTTGCAGTGGCAAAACTTGGGGTGAAGGACTTCCTGCTCGGTCCCATCTGCTTTGGGTTGTATCTGCGTGGGTGATTCTCCAGCATGAAATCAGGAACCTGGGTTTAATGGCTCTATAAAAGGCGTTAGGAATTTACTGGCACCTCTGGGTGCTCAAACGTGCACGTAAGCTGCAGCACAAACAGGCATGAGGCAACCTTTGGCCACTTGCTTCAATGTCCGCTGTTTATTAATGATGCCAACGGCAACAGGAGCCTTTTATTGAGCTCTGCTGTTTGCTCAGGGGCTCTTAAAATGCATCTAAGCCGGAGTGATTTATTCTGCTGCGACTTGGCTGAAGCATCCACAGTTTCTCTGGTTTATTCTGAAGTTCCAGCACAGTGATACTGGGTATTAATAGCAGAGCTGCTCGGAATGGCTCTGCGTGTTTCAAAACCCAACAACTCCCCACCCATCCTGTCTGCATCACCGTTTCTCCCACTCCTGTAATCCTCCCCAGTTGGTCTTTGCCCCGTTCTACCTGGAAGTGGGAGATTAATTATTCTTTTCTTTTGAAACAAATCCCCGGGGCCGTGAGCTGTTCAGCTTCCCATCTCCATCCCATTGTGTCGTCCTCCTGTGCTTGGAAGGAGGCAACCTGTGAGCTGCTGCTTGCTTTGTTTGAGGTGCTGAGTTGATGGCGTAGTGGTGATGGGTTGATGGTTGGACCAGTGATCTTAGTGGCCTTTTCCAACCTTTATGACTCTATGCATGAGGCTGAAATCCGGGTAATGCAGAGTCCAGGTGTGATCCCAGACCTTTGGGAGTGGGGTTGTGCATCCAGCAGGAGATGAGCACCTGGCCAAGGTGAGAAAGGTTTGGATATGCCAAAATGGATTTAAGTGGTAGAAAGTGAGCAGCAGAAACCAGGCACAGCAGCCTTACTCCTCAGCTTGCTTCGAGGGCTCATCCTAAAGTCTGTTTCCCAACAAGAATGTTCCAAGGGGTCTTTAAAGATAGGTTGGGATAAGAGATGGCTGACAGCTTCCAGAAGGATTTGGGGGGCAGAAGGCCAAAGCATGGACTTGCTATTGATGCTGGGCTTCCCTGAGGGCTGTGTAGGTGCAGTGAGGAAGAAATAAGAATTATCCAACCCCAAAGTGTTGACAGCTTCACCCTGTTATGGGTAAAGGCGGTGCCAAAATGAATCCCGAATCCCAGTGGTGCTTTCAGGGCTGGTGATTGAAAGGTGGAGTTGGGAAGGCTGCAGTGGGGTTTGGTTATGAGTAGGGCTGCTTTTGGGAACTGCAGCATGACGTGGGCTGAGCTGTGTGTGCTGAGATCTCACTTCACTCACACAAAGATCAGCGCCGTGGGGCTCAGCACAGCTCTGCCCATCCCTGTGGGTCGTGTGTCCCATTGCCAGGCTTTGCAGCCTCCATCCCTCCTTCTGCAGGCACCAAGCCATCATTTCGGGAACGCTGGTGGAAATTCTCTCCCTGTTTCCCCACCGCAGCACTTGGTGGGCAGAGCTTGGGGTGATTCGGGTGACCCCAAACTCCCTACAGCCTTCCTTCCACCCCCCCAACCCGGATGAGGCTTTGTTTACTGCCTCCAGCTCAATGCAGGGAGGGAAGGTTATATTTAACATCCAGCAGCCTGCCTGGGACAGGGCTGTAAATGAGCCCTGAAATGGCCACTTGTGTATGGCACTTCTGTACAAAAATACACCGGAGCCAGACGGCTGCGCTCTGCTGATGCAAGGCTGGGCTCTGTGGGGCCACCGACCCCAGGGCAGGGAAAGGCTGCTCAGAAACCCTCCATTGTGCCCCGCCGCCCTGGGTTCAAATAAACTGCAATTTTCATTCCAAAACCATAATGTTGGCTTGCAGCTTTCCCTGCCCCAGGGCCTCGTGTTCCTCTTGTTTGTGCCCTCCCCAGCCTTGCCCTGGGATGTGGGGCAGAAGACGCTGCTCCAGATACCCAAAAATAACAGAGATTTGTTCACCGAAACTGGGGGATTGTGGGGTGTTTGGTTCCAAACCCTGCTTTGCCCCTGGGCTGGGCAGTGTTTGTCCTCGTTCCTGGAACGATGCTGGTTTTAGTGAAAGGGGAAAACCCAGAGAAAAGCAATAAAACCAAAACGCAGCTGCGGGGCAGAACGCAGAATTCGGGCTGCGGAGGCAGGTGCTGGAGGCTCTGCCATCAGCTTCTCCTGCATTCATTTCCCCAGATGCATTTATTCATCTGTGAGGTGAGAGGAGAGCAAAACCTCGCTGTTTACATCTCCATTTTGAAAGCAGCCTCTAATTGCACCCTCGTGGGTCTGCAGCCCAGGAACACCATTTATATTTATACCCTATAGGCACAGCCCTGATGCTGTTCCTGGGCTGGAGATCCCTGTCCTGTGCCCACGGAGCTCAGGACTGTGCCGTGTCCACTTGACATTGCAAGAGGGTTTTATCACAAGGTAATTGATTATTGCAAGAGCTCCTCCTTGCAGAACTCCATCTGGGGGCATTAATTGCAGGCGGTCGTGTTTGGTTTCTCACTGTTGTATTCCAGCTGTGTCTCAGTGCTGCTCTCTTCCCATGTGCTTTTCTGCTGCTTTGCCCTTCTGATGATGCTCGCTTTGATTTCCAGCCCGGGGGTTTGGTTTGCCTCCATTCAAACTCACATAGAATGGCCTGGGTTGAAAAGGATGACAAAGTTCCAACCCCCTGCTGTGTGCAGGTCACCAACCAGCAGACCAGGCTGCCCAGAGCCACATCCAGCCTGGCCTTAATGCCTGCAGGGATGGGGCATCCACAGCCTCCTTGGGCAACCTGTTCCAGTGCCTCACCACCCTCTGTGTGATAAACTTCCTCCTCATATCCAACCTAAACCTCCCCTGTCTCAGTTTAAAACCATTCCCCCTTGTCCTATCACTGTCCACCCTTGTAATCAGTCAGACCCTCTTGTTTATCCGCTCCCTTCAAGTACTGGAAGGCTACAATGAGGTCTCCCCAGAGCTTTTTCTTCTCCAAGCTAAACAATCCCAGTTCCCTCAACCTTTCTCATAGGAGAGGTGCTCCAGTCCTCTGATCATCCTAGTGGCCCTCTTGCATGGTCCAATAAGCATAAATAGGGCATTAAACTCAAACCACAAGAACAGCACAAGCATGCCAAACATCTGGAGGTGAACCCAGCGGCCTGTTGTCTCATGAAGCACATGGTACGACATACATCTCAGTCTTCCTTAGGTTCCTGTTCCACCAAGCTGCCCCAAATGCATCCTAACATTATGCGCTATTCAAGATCCACTTCAGTAATCATGGTATTTGCAGAGCAGTTGTGGATGCCCTGTCCCTGGAGGTGCTGAAGGGCAGGAACAGACCCTGTGCAGCCCAATCTGCAGCAAGGGGCTGGGACTGCATTCTGTGCATTCTGTGATTTTGCATCACGTTTCATGATTCAACGCAGCACTGAATGACAACTCACCTCTACGCGTGCTTTGCTTCTACTTAGCCAAAGTACCACCCAGTTTTCAAATGTCTTTCTGTCAGCTAATACAAACCCCTTTTCTGCTTTCACTACTACAAAAATCTTGTTAGACCAAGCACTGCATCCAGCCTGTCCTCACCTGTTATGCAAATATATATTTGTTGTTTCTGCACTCTTCTGCAAACATCCACAAAAGAAGGATGCCAAAAAGCTCTGCAAGCGGCACTACTACTACTATCACTGATCCATGACAGATTCATGCTATGCTACATCACACAAACATCAACCCTGCATCCTCAGATCTTCATTTACAATGAGTGCTGTGTGTAGAAATGCACAGAAAGATAAGCCTTGCTCACTGTTGAGTAACTTTCCCCACAGCAGAGATGTGGCATCGCCAAAACCCACCCTTAGTAGACAAACTCAATGTCCTGCAATGTGTCATTAGTGGATATCACACAGAAAGGAGTTTGTAGCTGGGAGCTTTGACCCTTTGTGCTCGGAAGGTTTGCAGTCCCGATTAACGTGGCGCAGTGTGGTTTTGGTGGAAAAGAGGTTTTTATGTTGTGTTGTTTCTCTCGTGTCCTGCAGTGAGGTTTTTCTCGTGCACACGCAAGCATGCGCTCCAGCCAGTTATTCTAGCAAAGCCAGGCTTTAAAGGCTGGTAAATGTTTAATAACGCTGCTTTAGTACACGCTGCTCTGTTCTCTGGTTTCTCTGTCCCTGGAGGCTCAGATAAACGTTTCTCTACAGTTCTACCTCCTCCTGTTGGGCTTCAAAACAACGTGAAACCAGAAAGCTGTTTCAGTGGTGTTGAGCCCGCAGGCTGTGTCCTTTTGAGAGGGCAGCTTTTCCATGCTGTCAGACCTGGAAGATCAAACCCCAAATGTGCACGCACACAGCTGTGTCCTTCCAAGCTGAGCCTTCCCAAGAGCCCAGCTGCTGGGTGTCAGGTCAGTCATTCCCAATGTGCTCTCAGCAGCCTTTCTCCAGCAGTTTGCTGTCCGGATTTGTGCTTTGCATCTCCCCCATTCCCGCTGCTTGGAGCATCCCTCCTGCAGTGAAAACAGCACCGTGTGACCCGGGGTGTGTTTTTTTTTTCCTTCCTGTTCCTCTGCAGGAGAAGCATGAAGAGGAAAGCAATGTTCACCTGTCCGTTCAACGGGGATTGCAAAATCACCAAGGACAACCGGCGGCACTGCCAGGCCTGCCGGCTGAAACGCTGCGTGGACATTGGGATGATGAAGGAGTGTGAGTATGCTGGCATTTCCCTGGACTTGAGCAAGGCCTTTGACACGGTCCCCCACCACATCCTTATCTCCAAACTGGATTTGATGGGTGGACCACTCGATGGATAAGAAACTGGTTGAAAGGCTGCAGACAGAGGGTGGTCATCAGTGGCTCCGTGTCCAGGTGGAGGCTGGTAATGAGTGGTGTCCCCAAGGGGTCTGTCTTGGGACCGGTGCTCTGTAACATCTTTATCAATGACATCCATGATGGAATTGAGTGCACCCTCAGCAAGTTTGCTGACAACACCAAGCTGAGTGGTGTGGTTGACACGGTGGAAGGACGGGATGCCATTCAGAGGGACCTCGAGAGGCTGGAAAGGTGGGCTGGGTGAACCTGATGAGGTTCAACACGGCCAAGTGCAGAGTTTTGCACTTGGGCGGGAGGAATCCCAGGCATCCCTACAGACTGGAAGGAGCGGGCCTTGAGAGCAGCCCTGTGGAGAAGGACCTG